ATGTAATGCCTACATTTTTTGCCTAAGAATTGTGTAATGATTGTCAATAACTGAAGAGTTCCATATCCCCTACATCAAAAGAATATTGCATGCGATTGTAAGCACAACTTACCTACAGCGAGAATGGTCATCGTTATGGCATATGCAGGGAAAGGAATACTGAGGTACTGTAAACAGCCAACAGCCGCTCCAACTCCTAGGGCCAAAGAAACCAGAGACAATGGTCCAAACATCGGTTTTCCTAGAAAGACAACCAGACCAAGAATGAGGACACAGACTCCCAGGTACGGAAGAGATTTCAACACAGCATCTTCACTTTCCTTCGAGACTGATTCCGAGGTGAAGAGATTGACTGAGATATTGAGAAGAGAATGAGAAGCCAGAGCAGAAATAAAAGTCTCTTCCCAAACAGCATTTCTTTGATCCATTTCAGGATTTTCGAAATCCAATATGTAATATAGGCTAACAGCTTTGGCAGACTTCAAGAAATCTTCCTCAAGAAACTGTAATCCACCCAGAAACGGCGGAAAGAAATAAATCTTCAGTGTTCTTTCATCGTACATCAATGGATACTTGATCATGTAACTTCCATCTTCGAAATCTTTCAGATGGGGTTCAAGATATAAGACATCGTTGAGGAAACATTTGCCACTTTTTCTTGCACAGATGTCATCATAGCGAAGAGACCGTCCAGAGATGGTGATGGTCAAATTCCGGATGAATCTATCCAGTGAAGAGATCTCGTGGAAGATCTCAGCGGAGAGGATAGAACGGCCATCTTGTGAGGTGATGACAACACGGACGAATCTGTCCAACGTGGTGATCCGGGCGAGGTCGAAGTTGTGGCTTACGTTTGTCTTGAAGACGGCATCGATCTCGGCGCGTTCCCCCAGCGCCCGTGCGTTCGAAGGGATAAGAAGCTCGAATGTCTTGACCTTGAAGTCCAACCTGGCGTAGATACCGGAACAAGCAGCCAGGAAACCTAATGATGTAAGTACCAGGATAGTCCATGGATATCGTCCAATCAGATATCCCAGGAAACTGAAGATTTTCACCAAACCTCTGTCCGCAAAGTCAAAACGCATTTCTCTGGAACACACACAAACGTTATCTCTAAACTCTATTCTTTTTATATACATATAAAATGAAAGGATTTAAAATCACGAATGTTTCTTTTATACATAATACAAACTTCTACTGTCCTTACTGCGATGAAAATATATATTGGGATGGCTTGGCTCATCAGTGGTGAACCCTCCCAGCGGTTTCGCCAATTTAATCTACCAGACCGCTTCTTAGAACTCTAATACTGTATTGAACGATTCTGCTTATATACGCATCACTGAAGGCTGGAATCTCAGAAATGGTTTTCTATTATTTTTACCTAATTACATATTCTTTGACAAAATCAATAAGAAATCTTGGGTTTCTAAGTACTTTTTCTATAGGTACTAGGAAGGTACTAGGTACTACTAAGAAGTACTACTTCTGGTGTCTCCGTATTGAAGGACATCTTAGCCCGAAAGCTCAAAACTTGGTTATCTAGTGTGTCTTCACAATAAAGGTCACTGTAATATCTTTCAGAGTTATTGTCCCGATATATATGCTAAAAGATACAACTTCCTTAAGTGTTGTCCATGAGTGTATGTCGTGACAGAACAAAATAAACGAGGAAAAGCAGTCCAACTATCAAGAAGGAACATCTGGAACCTCCCAGCAGGCACTGACATTAACCTTGTAAATACGTGAAAACATTATAAATGTAGAACGACATTTGAAAATTATCCCGCATGTGTTTCTTTAGAACGAAAAATCGAAATTTATTTTAAGGTGAAATAACGATAAATTTCTAACCTTAAGGATGAAGTATGAAAGGATGAATTGTGAAGAGTAATGATAAACGGAAAAATAAAGTGTCGATTCCCATCCCTGGACACTTTCAGTTTATCATTACTCTTCACAATTCATTCTTTCATACTTCATCCCTAAGGTTAGAAATAATCGTTATTTCTTCTTAAAATAAATTTCGATTTTTCGTTCTAAAGAAGCACATGCGGGATCATTTTCAAATGTCGTACTACAATGATAAGCCGTATTATATTGTATTATACATTGTAAATGAGATAAACGTGTATATGTGAGGACCACACTTTGCTTCAGTGAGCACGAACTGAGTGTAGTGAAGCTTTGTCCCAGTTCGCGCTCGCTGAAGCAAAGTGTGGTCGCCACTATTCTTCATTTACCTAAACTGATGTTATGACTTACTCCATATAAGTCAGATAACCGATGAAATATACCATTTTACTGCTGAGTGCGGGGATCTGGAAGGAGAGAGAAAAAAGATCCTGAAAAGTCTTCCTAGACCGCATTTGAACTCAATAAAGATAATAAAAACTGTTTCAAATAAGAAAAGTTGGGCAATAGAACTGTTCAACTATCAAAAAGCGGTTGTAAATAAAATTGCACTCGTGGAAGAGAGAAGAACAGGGGCACAATAAAAAAAAGTCACCCTGTTTACCATACCTTAATTGTAAATACTCTATCTCTCCCTTTTCTCTTGTGTTAAATATTGTCTGTAATTCCACGGCGAATCTGTACAGGGCAAGACGCCCTAATAAAGTTGTTTTGTTGTTGTTGTTGACTTACTCCATATCATCACTGGTAGTTTTTGGTGATAAACATAGTGCATAGGCCTAATGTATAATTAAAGAGAGACAAGTGCCTCATTTGGTATAAATAACATCTTTATATCTATGTACCTCTACAGACCTATAAGCTTATGTCCATAGTTCACTAAACACCCCTAAGTTGCCTTCCATAGAAAATACAGGGTATATTCCAAACCAATCCAATACAATAGTATAGCGGTCTAGAGATTAATTTGGCGAAACCGCTGAGAGGGTTCACTACTGATGAGCCAAGCCCTCTCATTCAATAACTCATATCATTGCAGTAAGGTCTGTAGAGATAATATTTGATGATATTTAAAAGAAACGCATTGCCAGTAAATTTATTTGTGTGTAATTTTAGAGATCAATCCATATATTTATGGCTTTTCTTGATTTTATCAAGAAATTGGGTTTGGCCAAATATCACGGAGCAAGTTAAATAAACGTTTAGTTTATTTTTGCTCCACTAGATGGCGCTTTGCCATCTAAAAAAGCACATGTGCTCGTGGTAAGGAAATGCCTTCTTTATATTTAAATCTCTTTAGAAAATAAAAATAAATAAAACCTAAGTAAGTGGAAAATAGTTAAGATGTTGATGCTGTAGAAAAATTGAAGACCTGAGGAAGAGAGGAAGACCTGTAATAAGTTGGCTAGAAGAGGTCAAGAAAGCTACCAGAAGGTCACTAGATGAGAGTGATGTTCACTAACAGATCAAATTGAAGACTATTTATCCATATAGTCACCTAAAGTGGCAATTTGAAGGGAAATCTAACAAAAGGAACTTTTTTTTTTTGCTTATCCCTAGTACACGTGGTACAGGCCATGATAATCATGGTAGGTAGAAGTAGTCGAATGCTTTTACTGTAAGTGCACCACATGTCTACACATGTGAAAAGCAGACAAAAGGAACTGACTCTATTGATAACATCTTTTAAAGCTTATCTAAAATGTAGAAAAGCATAAATGTAGCCCTTAAATGAACAAATAAGTATATTAGCTTTATGACTTTTTTCGATAATCTTAACACATTAAAAAAATATCACAAAAATATCATGTTGTAATAAAAAATGTTTTTGCTAAAAAAAAAATATTTGAATTAAAAAAAAAAACATTCTTATGAAAAAAATAAATGATGTGTTGGTTTTTGGATAATTAAAGTATTATAATTTTTAATAAAAAAAAACTATTAATTTTCTGAATAAATGTAAAAAAAAAATATGGAACGCTTCACGATTTTGCGTGTCATCCTTGCGCAGGGGCCATGCTAATCTTCTCTGTATCGTTCCAATTTTAGTATATGTACCGCCGAACAAGCGTGTACAATCTCCTAGGGGCGGTAGTAACAATTATTCCGCCTTCTACATGCTATCAGATAAGCATTTTAAGGCTCAGATCAACGTTGAGGGTCACCATGCGCCCGCCGCACAGGAGGGCCAAGGAGAGGGCTGGAGTGACGCCGGCGGAGCCGTGGGCGCCCCGGGGGAGAAGAGGCCGAGAGCGCGGTTAGTGAGGGAACCAAGGCGACACCAAGCACAGCACCAGACTCCAAGCAAAACTGGTAGATTGCAAATTTACCTTTTTTTTTTATTTTATTTTATTTTATTTATTTATTTTTTTTTTTTTTAATTATTAATATTATTATATATATAATTTTTTTTTTAAGAGCAAACAAAGAGGAGGTACAAACAATGACAAGGGCAAGAGCAACGGGGGAAAGGGGTATGTACAGAAGGAACAAGCAAGGCAAACAAGCAAAAAGAGAGGCCCAAGAAGAAGGAGGGCAAGGGGTGGGTATGGGCAAAAGAGAAGGGGGAGAAAGGGTATGTACATGGGGAGATGAGAGCTTGAACCAAAGAGAAAAAGATAAAGCTATGTACAAAAAGTGGCAACAGTCCACAGTTCAGAGAGGCGTTTTGAGTGTGTTGGCAACAGTCCAAGAGGTTGAGGGGTGAGATGTAAAGGGGAGGTGAGGGCGAGTGAGGGGTGTGAGGGAGAGGTTGTGTTAAGTGTCAGAGTCGGAACTGGATTGTGGGATGTTGGATGGGGTAAATCTGTTTGAGTGGGTGGAGAAGTCGATGGTATGGGCCCAGGCTTTACCAGAGGAGAAGAGCTGAGGGAGAGAAGTGGGGATGTGACCGAGGTCGGACAGGCATTTATTAAAAAAGGTAGCGCGAAGGGAGTCAAGGTTTGGGCAGTCAAAAAGACGTGATCAATGGTTTCAAGGGCAAGGTTACAGTGGGGGCAGGTGGGGTCGAAGGGGGGAGGGGTTTTCCTGTGGGGGAAAGCGGCAATGAAAGTATGGCCGGAGAGAAGACCGGTGGCGATGGCGGAGCTTGGGAGAAGGAAGCTGTGGGAGGAGGAGAGTGAGCTGGAGGTGAGTCCGCTGTGTACCGGCAGCTTCACTCCCATAGTCAAGATGTTTTCCACCAGTTGTTTCACCACGTTTTGCATAGTTTCCCGTGAAGGCAGGCCATATCCTTCCAGTCCCTTCAGCTTCATGCGAGCAGTATGGGCCGAGTTCAGGTGTTTGACCATGTCTGGTGGAAAACATCTTGAATATGGGAGTGAAGCTGCCGGTACACAGCGGACTCAGTCCTAGGGGCGGTATCAATTAATCCGCCTGATACCGCCCCTAGGACTGAGTCCGCTGTGTACCGGCAGCTTCACTCCAATAGTCAAGATGTTTTCCACGGGAAACTATGCAAAACTATAGATAAACCCCACACTGGAGCAATGTTTTGTCAAACGGGTAGTTAACGAAATATACGTTCTAACTTAGTTTTTAAAGTATATTTCGAACTTAAATATCTCAAAACCCTCTAATAAGATATCATTTTAATAAAAAATATTTAATCAATTAATTAAATTAAGTAATTTGTTTTAAAGGAGTTAATTTTTATTTATTCATAATTTGATCGCAAATTTTCCAGGAATTACCATTATATATATTATTTAAAATTCCATAAAATATATTTATATTATTTTATTAATAAATATTACTTTTTTTTTAATTTTAAAGTTAGTTTTATAAACTGACAAATAATGAGTTATTGTGCTGCCATCTATCATCTTTAGTTGTAACTATTTTAAAATTTTCAACTCGAACTTTTTTATTCTCACATATCTAAAATTTTAAATAAAACTATTATATGTAAAATTATATTTAAAATAAATAATTTTGAATATTGTTTTGGTTTTAATAAAAAAAGGAATATTTTTAAATAATTGATATTTAAAATATCTTGCACACACACATCATTATAGTTGTGACCAGGCCACCGCCAGCCGAGGCCATTTCAGAAGACAGACGATTCCACGAGAGGTATATAGTGTAGGCTTAGTTATCATCAAATCTGTTGCATATACGACTGCTAATATTCTAGCCATGAAACAATGTGTTAGAGAAACTTTCCAAAATTCAGCACACACACATAGTGAAATATTGGAAGATAATAAGATTCTTTATAAAAAAAAAAAAGGAACAATTACGCGATAGATAAGCGAAGGGTTTCTACCACAGTAGATTTTAAAACTACAAGAAAATTTTCGCTTCATGATTTTCTTCTTCATTTGATAATATACTGCTCCAGGTGGATTATCCATGGAAATACTCATGGGGACAAAACTTGGAGAAGTTATACCTTTTACCATGTATATCAAGATTCAGACAATAACTCTGAACTATATTATAGTGACCTTTATTGAAGACAAACGAGATAACCAAGTATGAATTGCCTCTGTCTCCTTCAAAAAAAAAAAAAAAAATAGACGACCGACGACATCAAAGACTTTCCACTTTCTTAAGTTTTGTCCATGAGTGTATTTATCAGTTTAGAATGACATGATATATTTCCCTATAAAAAATCTTTGATATCATTCAACCAGTGTGTGTATTAGGAAAGTTCACCAGTAGGAAAAAGCAATAAAAGGAACATGAATCAAATACATAAGTACATACGTCAGCTAATTGCTTACTTTGAAGGTATATTGCTACGGCGTTTTATGGTTTCCACAAGTCCATATCTCAGAAGAAGGCCAAGTGACACTCACTCCTCACTTTCTTACTGCTACTCTTTTTGTGTTGTTTTTCTTGCTTCCCTCTTTCTCTTTCTTGTTTTTTTTTTCCTTTTTCTTCTGTATATATCGTTATTTCCTTTGTCTCACTGCTTTGTTCTTATGCATACCTCTGGTGAATCCTGTATAGGGTCAGTGACCCTGAATAAAGGCTTTTTGTTGTTGTTGTTGTTGTTGTTGCTTACTTTGAAGGTTCTCTAAATATGCCAGAGCTGGGAGAGAATTGGCGGCGTGAGGATCTTCATTGTGGATTTCAGTCAACCGGGGAGAGAGAGAGATTGAAACACTACTTTTATTATATCACGTTCATATATGAATAACATATATGCATAAATATTGAAATGGCATATCCTAACCAGGAGCACATGTGCTTTACAGAAGGCAGAGCGTCATCTAGTGGAACAGAAATCAACTAACCCTCTATTTACCCTGTTCCCTGATATTTGGCCAACCCAATTTCTTGATAAAATCAAGAAAAGCCATCCACGAACGCGTTTCGCGCTTTTGGCGCTCGTCATTGGCGTCGTTTCTTGATTTATCAAGGGGTTGGCCAAATATAAGGGAACAGGCTAAATCAATGTTTAGTTGATTTCTGTTCCACCAAATGGCGTTCTGTCTTCTGTAAAGCACATGTGCTCCTGGTTAGGATATGCCTTTTGAAATATTGATTTCAACACCTGATCTTGATGAGGCACAATTTGGATTGTAGATTATAAACACAAGGTAATAAGACCAAATCCAAATAAATAAATAGTGGTCTGTTTAGACAGGTGGATGTAGCACACTGCTGATAACAGGGTTGTCTAGAGGGGGGCAGGGAGGCCACGTGTTCGCTGGCAGCCAATGGGCGCGTGTGTTACATTCACCTGTCTATACAGATCACCCTGTCTATAGCGGTCACTCTAGGCAACCCTGTTAACAGCAGTGTGATACATACACCTGTCTATACAGACCACCCTGACTATAGCGACCACTCTAGACAACCTTGTTACCGAAACGTCACACACTATTTATTTATTTGGATTTGGTCTTATTACCTTGTGTTTAACACCTGATCTTTTTATCTTTTTTTTTTTTTCGTTTTTTCATATGAATAATTGTCTCTCATAAGATATATAATGATTAAATATATAGATGTATGTATGTATCTACTTATATATTTTCCTTATTCTGTCTGTTTGTCTGTATGTCTGAAGCTCACGGATAGAATGCGCGCCCATTGGCTGCCAGCGAACACGTGGCCTCCCTGCCCCCCTCTAGACAACCCTGTTATCAGCAGTGTGCTACATCCACCTGTCTAAACAGACCACTCTGTCTATAGCGGCCACTCTAGACAACCCTGTTATCAGCAGTGTGTTACATTCACCTGTCTATACAGATCACCCTGTCTATAGCGGCCACTCTAGACAACCCTGTTATCAGCAGTGTGCTACATCCACCTGTCTAAACAGACCACTCTGTCTATATCGGCCACTCTAGACAACCCTGTTATCAGCAGTGTGCTACATCCACCTGTCTAAACAGACCACTCTGTCTATAGCGGCCACTCTAGACAACCCTGTTATCACCAGTGTGTTACATTCACCTGTCTATACAGATCACCCTGTCTATAGCGGTCACTCTAGGCAACCCTGTTAACAGCAGTGTGATACATACACCTGTCTATACAGACCACCCTGACTATAGCGACCACTCTAGACAACCTTGTTATCAGCTGCCTGTCTATACAGACCACCCTGTCTATAGCGGTCACCTTAGGCAACCCTGTTACCATCAGTGTGTTACATTCACCTGTCTATACAGACCACCCTGTCTATAGCGGTCACCTTAGGCGACCCTGTTATCAGCAGTGTGATACATCCACCTGTCTATACAGACCACCCTGTCTATAGCGACCACTCTAGACAACCCTGTTATCAGCTGCCTGTCTATACAGACCACCCTGTCTATAGCGGTCACCTTAGGCAACCCTGTTATCATCAGTGTGTTACATTCACCTGTCTATACAGACCACCCTGTCTATAGCGGTCACCTTAGGCGACCCTGTTATCAGCAGTGTGATACATCCACCTGTTTATACAGACCACCCTGTCTATAGCGACTACTCTAGACAACCCTGTTATCAGCTGTGTGATACATCCACCTGTCTATACAGACCACCCTGTCAATAGCGACCACCCAAGACAACGTTTTTAAAATATATTCGCACTCTAGTAAACCCCGGGCGTTGCCCGGGCCATTCGTCTAGTATATATATAAAGTCCCTTTATTGTTAGCGCCCACCGCGGGTAAGACTCCGCTACCGATGGACTACGAGAGTTCTTTCCCACCGAGTGGGCAGGTGGATGTGATGGCTGGTGTTGTTCACCTCAAGACCAAGATGGTACTTGTAGATGGTTGTCACACTTGTGCGCTTCAGAGAGAGAGAATGCTCTGAAGAATACTTGTAAATTGCTTCAATGGCCCTCATATTGCACAATTCTAACCCCACCAGTGAGTTCAAGTAACCAAACAGGGCTCTGGCAACTTGTAAGCGCGAACACCGAAGTTTTTTTCCACATGTATAGACTTGTTATTTACTTACAGTCGCTATCACCATGAATTATTATTACCAATATTATCTATATATTAAATGGAAACACAAAACACAAATGTTTATTTTTAAACATAAAACAAACTTCTACTGTCCTTACTGTGATAAAAAAAAATATAGGGAGGGCTTGATTCATCAGTGATGAACCCTCCCAGCGGTTTCTCCAATTTAATCACCCAGACCGCTTCTTAGAGCTCTAATACTGTATTGGATAATTCTGCTTATATATGCTGCAATGAAGAGTGGAATCTTAGAAATGGTATTTAAGTGAATTATTGACATAAGCTTTAAGAACAGCTACTGTCCGATGCATTTCGATGCAAAATTGGTAAATTTATAAGAAATTTGAATACAATAGGTGTGTAAATATGTAAATAGGTGACTTGACATTCCCAAGCTACCGAAACGTACTGATCAAGGAGGCAATAAATATCGGGAGATAAACAGAGCACGACGTAGCACAGTACGTACTTACCTCAAGCTGGCAGGAAAGTTGTAAAAGTACGTGTTTCGGTCTATTACGGTTTAATGAGTTCTTCCCGCATGTCACGTGATTGGTGGAAGGTTTCGTCAACAGCTTGCACTGTAAGTACATCACTGAGGTGTGGTACATTGGTACGTGAGACCGGTGAGGGGAGTACAACTGTACTGTTACTGGTACACTTAGTACCTTGTCGTGATATCTATGGCGTGCTGTGACAGCTTGTACTGTAAGTACACCACTGAGGTGTGGTACATTGGTACG